AGAGAGAGAGAGAGAGAGACAGAGACAGAGACAGAAACAGAGACAGAGACAGAGAGACAGAGAGACAGAGAGAGAATATGATTGTTTATGAAGTGCCTGGAATCCAACCCATGGCCTCACACATGCTGCTGAGCTAACACCCAGCCCATTATTTTATTTTTTAATTTTTTAAAATCAAATCACTGTGTGATAGATCCTTACAAAGCTGTTCATGATTAGATTTCAGTCATACAGTATTTCAACACCCATCCCTCCACCAGTGTACATTTCAAAAATCTGGCTTATTAAAGTAGTGATGTCAGGAGTAGGGAGATGGCTTTTGGAAAATATTTAGGTAGGAGACAACCTGTGATTAGCATTTAGAAGTGAGAGAAAGAGGGGACTTGTGAGTAGCTTCTGACCTTCAACCTTGAATACTGAATGAATGACAGCATCATTAAGAATGACATGATGTGAGGTCTGGAGCAATAGAACAGTGGGTAGAGAGCACTAGCCTTGCATACAGCTGTCCTGGGTTTAATCCCTGGCACCCAATATGGTCCCCTGAGCCCTGTCAGGAACTCAGAGTGCAGAGCCAGAAGTAAACCCTAAGCAACACCAGGTGTGGTCCCCCAAATACAACAAAAAGCAAACAAAAAAGAATGATACGACGTATTGGTGGAGGGGCCGAGAGAGAGAGTACAACAGGTAAGGTGTCTGCCTTGCACACAGTCAATCCAGGTTTGATCCCTAGCACCATATACAGTTCCCTGAGTACTGCTAAGAGTGATCCCAAAGCCAGGAGTAATTCCTGAGCTATAGGAGGCAAGCCTTGATGTGCTAGTCCAATTTGATCCCCAGCACTGCCAGGTGGCATTCCTGTGCACAGGACTAGGACTAGTCCTGAGCATCACTGGCTGTGGCCCCCAAACAAGACAGAAAAATGACATGAGGTACACTCAGCTCTAGAATTGTGGGCATCCCAATTCAAAGTGTGTAACCTCTCCCTTACAGCACTTTACCCTGGGGTTGCCCCTGTTCTCTTTTAGGGCATCCTTTCTTTCTTTTTTTTCTTTCTTTCTTTCTTTCTTTCTTTCTTTCTTTCTTTCTTTCTTCCTTTCCTTTCTTTATGGGCTGGAGTGATAGCACAGCGGTAGGGCGTTCGCCTTACAAGTGGCCAACATGGCCGACCCGAGTTCGATTCCTCCGCCCCTCTCAGAGAGCCCGGCAAGCTACCGAGAGTATTCGATATGCCAGACACAGTAACAACAAAGTCTCCAATGGAGACGTTACTGGGCCCGCTCGAGCAAATCGACGATCAACGGGAGGGCCTTTACCTTTACCTTACCCACATTTTCCTTAAAATTAGTATCTTCCATCAGTGAAATATAATCTTAATTCTTAGTGCTGAAGAGAGAGCTTAATGAACTGAGCTTATGCTTTGCATGCAAAAATCCAGGTTCATTGTGGCCAGAATGATAGTAAAGCGGGAAGGGCATTTGCTTTGCATATAGCTGACCTGAGTTCAATCTCCAGCATCTCATATGGTCCCCTGAGCACCACCAGGAGTAATTTCTGAATGAAGAGCCAGGAGTAATCCCTGAGCATCACTTGGTGTGACCCTCAAAAGCCAAAAAAAAAAAAAACCCCAAAAACAAAAAAGGATGCCAAGGTTGCAGCACCACCAGCACATGGTCCCTTGAGCATGACTGAGAGCGATCCCTAGGCACAGGTCTCCTTGAGCACTGCCAGTCCAAAATCTAAAGAAACAAGCAAAACCTACTTTACTTTCAAAAGGAAGGGTATGGGGCTGGAGAGATAGTACAGCACGTAAGGTGCTTGCCTTTTATGTGGCCGAGATTACCACATAAGGGTCCCTAAGTACTGCCAGGGGTTACTCCTGAGCCAAGAGTAGTCCCTAAGCATCAATGGGTATGGCAAAAAAAAAAAAAAAAAGAAAGAATAATGGGCATAGAGGGATGGAGGGATGGAGAAAATAGCTCAAAGGGCTGGAACTCAAGTTCCAATCCTTGGCATTTAATGCTCCCCAGTACCCATGCAGGGACTAGCCCTCCTCATTCCCAGGACAAGAAGATGTGGCCCTAAAACACAATTATGACATAATGGAGGAGTAGCAGGTGCCATGCCTTACGGTGAAGCTGTCAAAAGACACCCCAGAAGCAGCCCAAAAAGCAGGGTATGAAGATGTGCAGGGAAGATAAGACACTGAAGCAGAAACAAAAAGAGGAGCAGAAGAAATTCCAATGCAGAAAAAGTCAAGGCCCCAGGGAAGGGCTTAGGAAATCTGACCAAAAGTTCACTGCTCCTGGGCCTGCGGCATGGCCGTCCTTAATTCCATTGCTGTTTGGACATTTGGCATCCCTCCCTTAACATCTGCTGCCACCTGTGTACAAAATAAAGTGTCTGAGAACCTGATACACATTTAAGAATAAACTTTTGTTTAAAAATAATGACCTTGGGTTGGAGAGATAATACAGTGGATAAGGTGCTTGCCTTGCACACAGCCAACGCTGGTTTGATCTCCAGCATTGCATATGGTTCCCTGAGCACTGCCAAGTGTGAACCCTGAGTACAGAACCGGGTGAATCTCATACCACAAGGGGTGGCCCATCCCCCTCCCCCTTGACCATAGGGGGAAAACAAGTTTATAGAGATGACATGAGTTTAACAGAGTAAGCTGAATGTGAGGCAAGCTTGCATAGCCCCGAGAGAAAGAAACTGGGAAGCTGGAGGCATACAGGGGTCTGAGCAGTCACCCTCAAGCTCTGTTTTTTACAGGGCCTCCTGTGGGGTGCCTGACATTTGGTCCTGGAAGACTTACAGGTTAGTTGGGCACAACCAAGGTCCCACAGAAGAGGATAGGACAGCGCCACTAGAGGGCACCATTGGGTTGAGAAGGAGGTATAAGTCAGCCTGCATGCAGGTATACTTGGGTCAGAGGAACCTTGGGATTCGGAGGATAGGAGACATGACACTGGGGTGATTACGAAGGAAAGACGCAAGATCCTTGGAACCACAGTGCTCAACGCTGGCATATGGTGCAGGTTCCCAGAAGCTCAGGTGACAGCCAGGGCTGGCTGCTGAATTTTTGTACAAGTAAGGGCAAAGCACATATTGAACACCCAACACTCTCTAAGGCTTGAGAAAGTCTTCCCCCGCAATTATTACACTGCAGCCAATATTGCATTTATTTATCTATTTATTTATTTGTTTTTTGGTACATGTCCGGCAATTCTTGGGGGTTACTCCTGGCTCTGCATTCAGGAATTACTCCTGGCAGTGCTCAGGGAATCATATGGGGTGCTGGGGAATCAAACCCTGATCGGCCACATGTAGGATAAGTGCCCTGCCTTCTGCACTCTCTGCCCCCTAGCATTAATTTATTAATTTTGCCATTTCTACTGTATTTAGTACTATACTGGATTGTGGAGAGAAGAGGGTGAACAACATTGTCATGATCCCATCTTCTTAAAGTAACCACAGGATCACACAAATACTCACAGATTTTAATCAAAGCTAAGGCATTAATCAGGGGTCAAGAGTAATCATATCAGGGGCTTCTAATCTTTAGGTTGAGTAAGCTTGACATTTTCAGTTGAACCAGAAAAGGGAAGCTAAGGTCAGGACAGGTGTGTCTGCTGGGATGGGGAGTTGGACAATGCTGGGGCCAAAAACAACACTCTTGACCCCTGAATAAAGGACCTAGCTTCAGGCTGGTATCCACCAGAACACATCATCCACTCTTCTCCCTGCCGCATTCAGATACCAGGCTACCTGCTCCGGAAAAGAAGTTTCAGTCTGTTGCCCTGACATTTGCTGTCCATAAGCCTCTACATCCTGTTCTCTTTGCCCCCTTCCAGGTAGGAAGGCTGTACAACAAAGGTTGGCAAGTACTGCTGGTCAGGCAGGTTGACCAGAAGGTCAGGGAAGGGGAGAGAATTGGAGGCTGTCAGGTGAGGAGTAGCTAGGGCAGGGTCAGGTAAAGAGAGGAAAGGGTTAGAGAAGCAACATTCACCAGGCTGGTAGGGGTAGATGAGGAAGAGGCGAATGTGACTTAGAATCGGCTCTGGTGCAGTAAAGCACAGGCACTGGGTAAAAGAGAACAGAACAGAAGGATGCTCTAATGCCAGGAAGTGACGTGGAGGGAAAGAGGGATGGGGGATGGAGGATGAAGAACGGAGGGGAGGATAGCGCTGGGCCACATGGATGGGAATGAGCACAGAAAAGAACTGCTCAGAGATCCTGGGTCCAGAATACCACCAAGCCTGGTCTGCTCCCACCCTATTCCCACCCTTTGCAGGCCCTGCAAGAGTGGAAGGAAATCAGAACATTCTGGCAGCTGGCTAGGGGGCAGGGTACCTTACTAAGGTCCTGGCTGATCCAAGGCTCGGGGAGGAGTGAGGTAATCCACAGGGCAGCCACGGAATGTCTGGTCCCCAAGGACTTTGAGAGGTCACACTGCCGCCAGCCCCCTTCTCCCAAAGCCCTGCGCTGACAGAAGACCGGAATCAGACTGTTTTGACCCCCATCCTGGATATGAAAAGATGCTCAGCTTCTCCCCAGGTCTCTTCTTCCCACATCCCTGGCTGTGGGGAAGTTCGTCTCGGACCCGCACCTCTGTCTCTGTCCATTCTGCGGCAGTGCCTGCCTTGGTTTCTCCTCCCCTATTCTCGCGGACTCGAGAAAGCCCTCCGAGGGGGCGATCACGGCTGTTCCTCGGGATCTCCCCTCCAACAACCCTTCCATTATTAGTTGGTCCTTCCCCAGAGGGATCCCCCATCTCTCCTACTGCAGTCCCTGGCAGGGTGCTCCTTGTCGCATCCCGGGCAGAATTGCAGCCCCGGCCCCCGGCAGACCATGCACCGAGGCCAGGGAGAAGGAAGAGCTCCGGGAAGCGGGTGATGCGGGGCAATGCAGAGCGGAGGGGATGCTCCGCGCAGATGAAGGAGGCCTGGGGGGCGTCCCGGGGGATGGGCAGGGACAGGGCCAGCGGGCCTCACCGGTCTCGGGGTCTCCCAGGAAGGCGTCCTCGTCCTTGCGGCCCCTGAGAGGGGCCGCCGCAGGCGCCGGCTCGTCCTCCGGCAGCCGCGGGAAGCTGGTGATGCTCATGTAGTCCACCGGCGAGTAGGCGCCCAGGGCGCTCTCCTGGCTGGCCTGGTTCTCCGCCGCCGCCATGCTCGCCCGCGCCCCCCAGCAGCTCGGCGCCTGCCGGAAGTGGTGCGGCGGGGGCGAGAGCGAGGGCGGGGCGTGCGCCCCGGGGCGGCCGGGTGGGGGCGCCTCCGCCTGGGCCCTGGGGGGTGTCGGGGCCCACGGGCCGCGCCTGCAGCGGCCGCCAGGGGCGGAGAACCTGCGCTGGACAGGGGTGCAGGTGCGGATCGCGCAGAAGGGGCTGCAGAGGGGAAGCGAGCGCTGCAGGCGCCACCGGGATGATGGGGAGCTTTACGAAGCCCGGGGCCCCAACACTTTGCTCCTTGCAGTGTCGCCAAGCATCCTCCTCTAATCCCGGACTACCTCCGCGGCCCACAGACCCTTGCCCTGGCTGCGAGCCTTTCCTTGACTTCAGCTTTGATTTCAAGTATCTCCGACCCCAGAACCGCCTCGTTGGACCCCTGGTTTCGGATCTCCAAAACCTCGGACCCCAGACCTGTCTTTCGACTTCAGACTCCACCATCCCTTTCCACTCTTCCCACAGCGCCACCCCCACTGACTCCTCTGAAACCCCAGTCTCTGCTCCCCCGCTCCAGCTGCTTTTTCACTCGGTGATCCTCTCCTTGAATGTTAGATCCCTCTTCTCAGAGTCCTCTTCCAATCGCAACCTCTTCTGGGATCCCTGCTCCATCAGCATGGGACCGTGAAACCAAAATTTGAGTGTGTGTGTGTTGAAAGCTTTAAAAGCAGATTCCCAGGGCCAGAGAGATGGTGTAAGGGTCAAGGCACTTGTCTTGTGTGGAGCCCAGCAATCCGGTTCAATCCCCAGCACCACAAGTTCCCCGGACCAACACCAAGAGTCATTCCTGAGCACAGAGCCAGGAGTTACCTATGAGCAACTGCTGGCTGAGCCCCCACCCCCCTAAATGCTGATTCCCAGAGACCAGATATGTAGCTCTGTGATAGAGTGCATGCCTCTCATATGTGAGGCCCTTATGCCACTCACAGGTGCAGGATCCCTGGTACCCTGCATGTGACTGTCCCCTCCCCGCCCCAAGAATAGATTCACTATACACCATAATTTCAATAGGTTTGAATAGAGTCTTTTTTTTTTTCTTTTTTGGGTCACACCTGACAATGCACAAGGATTACTCCTGGCTTGCACTCAGAAATTAATCCTGGCGGTGCTCAGGGGACCATATGGGTTGCTGGGAATCAAACCTGGGTCAGCCGCATGCAAGGCAAATGCCCTACCCACCGTGCTATCACTCCAATCCCTTGAATAGAATCTTGAATGTGAATATTTACCAGCACTTTAAGAGTTTTTGTTATGACCTGCACCCTACATCCAAGAGGGGTTCCCCTTCTGTCCGAGGACAGAAGAAGCCCTAGAGACAATGAGACTGGGGAGAGCCATTGGTCACAAGACCAGAACTGCTTTTAAAAAATTTAATAACCCCCCCACCCCGGCAGCAAGGTGGCCACCGCCTCAGAGCTTATGGAAAACCAGGTATGAGCCGGCGGTGACAGGGCAACTGCAGTCTCATGGGAAGGGGGATGTTACCAGCTTGTCCTTCACGCCCTACCGAGGTCACGAGTTGCCCCCCACGAGTGGCTCTCCGGCACAGCCACGGCTCCAGAAGCAAAAGAACTTAATCCAGAGCCCGGCAGCTTGCAGCAGAAAAGTGAATGGACCATGCATTAAACTACGGTGCCATGCCTCCCCAGGAGGGAAAGAATGTTGCTCCCTTCTGCCTCCCCCACCCCTCCCGCCCCAACAGCAAGGTGGCCGCTGCCTCAGAGCTTATAGGAAAGCCAGGTATGAGTCAGTGGCGATGGGGCAACTGCAGTCTCATGGGAAAGGGGGCGGTACCGGCTCGTCCTTCATGCCCTACCAAGGTCACAAGTTGCACCCCACGAGTGGCTCCCCGGCACGGCCATAACAACCAGATGCACAGAAACCAATCTCGTAATTATCTGGCTCTTTGCAGAAATCCAAAATCGCGCTGTTGCTACTGTGGCCATAAGAAATTACATGATTCTCATAATCGGCTATAGAAAACAAAGTATTTCACAATGCCTTTTCAGCAATTCTGATTGTTGGGGGGGAAATTCTAAACAATAATTGTGCATCTTTTGTCGAAATAATGAATGTAATCAATGTAGAGAAGAGTTAAGTAGAAATCATCTGTCTCACAGGCATTGGGAGGGGTGGGAGGGGGGTATATTGGGGTTCTTGGTGGTGAAAGATGAGTACTGGTGAAGGGAGAGGTGTTTGATCATTGTATAACTGATACTTAAACCTGAAAGCTTTGTAACTTTTCCCACAGTGATTCAATAAATAAATATAAAAAAATTAATACTGGGGGTACTCAAGGGGCAGGGACAGATAGATAGTACCTTGCATGATAGTTAAGATAGATAGTACCTAAACAGATAGTTAAGACCTTGCATGTGGTCTGCCTTGGTTCAATCCCTGGCATCACATATGGTCTCTGACCCTCTCCAGGAGTGATCCTTGACCATAAAGCCAAGAGTAAGCTTGAATACCACTGGGTGAGGCACCCAAAGCAGGAAAAAGGGAAAAAAGAAAAAAAGAAAGAGAAAGAAAGAAAGGAGAATGAAAGAACAGAATGGAAAGAAGGAAAAAGCAAAAAGGGAAAGGAAAAGATGGAAGGAAGGAAGGAAGGAAGGAAGGAAGGAAGGAAGGAAGGAAGGAAGGCAGGCAGGCAGGCAGGCAGGCTATTAGAGGTCCAGATCTGCAATGCCATCTTCAGACAGGAGAGGGCAGCAGTATTTCAGGAACAGCTCTAGGGCTTTGGTAGCCGCACTGGGTACAAGAGGTTGGGATGAGTGCTGTTAGGAGCTGTGGGCCAGGTGTGGCGCAGGGATGCCCCTATGGGTAGAACTGTGTTCCATTTGCCTGTGCCTTCCTCTGAGCAGTGGGGGCTTCTTACTCCTCAGAAGGTGACAGCTAAGCCTCTCTGTCCCCAATAAATGAGATCTGTGCCTCTCAAATACATGAGTTCCCTTAGGGTAGTAGAGATCCCTGGATGGATTTAAGTTCTCTTAGTGGGTTTATTTATCTTCCCATCTCGCCTAGGAACAAATCTGTCATCCACAGTAGGTTCAGTGATCTTTAATGCCTCTGGTCCTATTAACAGGGTCCATGGTACATTGGCAGCATCTAAGACCCCTCAGAAAGATCTGTGGTCCCTGTGGAATCCAGGTACCTTCATTGAAGTATGAACCTCTTCAGCATAGCTACTGTCTCTTCAATGGGGTCCATTCTGCCCCACAAGATCTGTACCCCTTCAAAGAACTCTGAGACCCTCGTCCTCAAGATTAGGTGACTCTGACCATAGTCTGACCTTGGAGGGATGTTTTTCACTAAGACTGAGATTAGCCAGATAAATTAAAGGAGCAGATGGGAAAAGAGGCTGGGCTAGGTAGGGTCCAAGTCCTCTAAGGAAGGATGTGAACTGTTTGCTTCAGGTCTCAGAATCACTCTTGAAGTTAGGTATTGGAGTCCTTCCTGCCTTGGTAGTTATTCTGTGACATGAAGGGGGCTGGACCCTTACTGATGGTGCTCTCGAAGGGACAATGGAAGTCTGCTTGTTTCTTGCTTCTGGGGTGAAGGGGATAGAAGGAAGCCATAGATGAGTGAGACAAGGGGTGGCAGTTGTGGTGTGGGGTCTCTGTGAAATAAGAGATTGAAATTAGAGAGTGGTAAAGCACACATCCTGCATGTATAAAGCATGGGGGGTTTGATTCTGTCACTGTGCTGGGGGTGGGGGCGGCGGTAATGAGTCATTCCTCCTATTTGCGTAGATCCTAGTATTTACAAGCCTCATTCAACCACATGGACAGTTAAAAAAGATAAAGACTATCCTGAAATCAGGAAGTCAGGGACGTTACATTTGACTCTAACTTGATCACCATTTGCTCTGTGACCTTGTGCATATTCCATCCCCTCCTTGAGTTTACCATTTGTGTGTAGTGAGGAGAGTTTATTAACAAAAACCGGAAGGCCCTTCTAGTCTTCATTTTATGAGACTGGTACTTTAGATTTGGGTGGAATTTGGCGAAGAGGAGAGAGTGAAGATAAAGCCTCAGGGATGGAAGATAATCTAAGGTGACTGCAGGGCTAGGATGAGTCTGGAGCCCAGACGGTGCCCTCATTGGAGGAAGCTTCCTACCCCAGCACGAAGAGGAGGGAGGCGCTCAAAGTGGGAGAATAATTCCCACAGAGGAATCGGAGCTCAACTGACTCTCTGACTCAGTTGGGCGACAGTTATATTTGTGCAATCAGGCTATAGGGCAGCTCCATACAGAGCTTGACTAATTTCAGCAAGAACCCCGCCTCAACTCAGCTTCTGTATCTGTCATCTAAAAGTCTGACCTTCCCTTTTTTGGGGAGAAGTGGGGTGAGGCCACATCCGGCGATGCTCAGGAATTGAAGCCAGGAGGATCGCGTGCAAGGCAAACGCCCTAACCACTGCTCTCTCCTGTCGGCAAAAAGTTCGGCCTTTTCTTGTCACTCCAAGCCCCACCCCTTCTGCTTTTACTATAAGACCACACCCCTTCCTCAAGTCAGCCCCGCCCCTCGCTCCCGAGTGGCACACAAGTTCCCAGTCCAAGAGTAGCCCCCTCTCCCGCCCGCCCTCCGGTCTGTGTAAGCCCCGCCCCCACTGCCTCCAGGCTCCGCCCCTCGCCGGAGGCCCCGCCCCTCGGCTGGCCTGTTTTTCCGCGCCCGGGCGCCACCACCTCACAAGCTGCCAGTGAACTTGACGGCATGGGGCTTCCGGAGGAGCGGGGTCGCGGCGGCCGAGGCGCTGGGGGCCGGGAAGAGCCCGGATCCGGGAATCGGCCGCGCAGCTGGACTCCGCCGCCGGACATCAGCCGTTCCGCGCATGTTTCCTCGCTGCAGCGCTACCGCGAGCTGCACCGGCGCTCTGTGGAGGAGCCTCGCGGTGAGGCCACGCCCGAGCGGGCACGGTGCGGAGGGTGGTGTCCGGGAGCAGAGGAGTGAGGACTTGGGGGTGTCCTGGGAGGGAAATGGGGTTCGCTCCGTGAGGAGACGGGGCCTGCCGGGAGGAGCGGGGGCTGCCCTTGGGAAGTTGAGGGATCCGTGAGGAGATGGAAAATTTGTGAGGGAAGAATTGCCGTTTTCTGAGGAGATGGGCAAGGGGTTCCGGGAGGACACGGAGGTTCTGTGAGGAGAAGCAGAATTCTCTGAGCTGGGAAGGGCTTCTTAGGACTTGAGGAGTTGCCTGGCGACTTGGGAAGGCGGGGAGAGATGGTTTTCTTTTCTTTTCTTTTTTCTTTCTTTTAGGTGATGGGTTTCTTTCTGTGAAGCAAGTCCGTTTCCTCAGAAAATTTTGGAGGGCTCCCGTGGCAAAAGTGAGGTTCTCAGTCTGGAGACGCTCAGTGCCCTGAGGGGCCGGCCTCGAGAACTTTCTTTGCCCCCGTTCCCACCAGCTCAGCCTTGGCTGCGGCGGCGTTAGTGGCTATTCGTGTCCCCTGGGGAGGTGCAGTCAGCCCGTCTGGCACCCACGCTGGGGTCTCCAAGGCGCGTGGTGCCCAGGGCCTGGCCCTTGCGACTGAACAGGACTCGCCCACGGTCGAACTGGACTGTCATTGAGACCCTCGGAACTCGGGCAATGGTCAGGGGCTAAGCAGGATTCAGGGCTACTGGAAATGGTGAAAGTCGCAGGGCACATACTCTGTACCTGTGAGCCCAGGTGGCAATTCCCGCCTGGCGCCCGGGGACCTCCAGAACCTCCACAGCGACCAAAGAGGGCAGGTGCTGAGTGAGGAAGAGTCCAGGCCCTGCCTGGTCAAACCCTGGAAAATCTAGATTTAATTCTGGCAGTACCATTCATTTATTGTGCAGTTGCAGGCCGAGTTTTATTAGGAAGTGGCAGGGTTTGGTTACAGCCCACTGTGTTTGGGGATCACTCCCAGTGGTACCAGGGATAGTACAGTGTCCTATATATCATTCTATCCTGTGCCCCTGATAGGCAGGGTTTTTTGTTTATTTTTTCCTTTTGGGTCACACCCAGAAATATACAGGGCTTACTCCTGGCTTTGCACTCAGGAATTACTCCCGACGGTGACTGGTGGACCATATGGGATGCTGGGAATCAAACCTGGGTCGGCCATGTGCAAGGCAAACACCCTGCCCGTTGTACTATCATTCCAGCCCCAGATAGGCAGAGTTTTACACCTGAGATTCCTTTCCTTTGCCTGTAAGATAGGGATAATAACTTACCTCATAGGTTTGTGTGAGGTGTAAAGTGCATGATATTGGGCGGGGAATGTGACTTGGTGGTGTTACACTTGCCTTAATAATGAGGTATTAATTGGTTCCTGGCCCTACATGGTCCTCTGGGCACTGTCAGGAGAGATCACCACACACCAAGCTGGAAATATCCCATAAATATAGCCTGGTGTGTGGCCAGAGGGATACTACAGTGGGCAGGGTGTTTGCCTTGCATGCAGCCGACCCGGGCTCGATCCCAGCACCCCATATGGACCCCTGAGCATGTCAGGAGGAATTCCTGAGCACAGAGTCAGGAGTAACCCATGAGCACTGCTGGGAGGCAATCCCCTTCCCCACCCAATAGCCTGGTGTTGCCCTCAAACCAAAACCAAACACAAAACTAAGGTGTGGGATCAGAGCTAGAATAGTGAATAAAGCAATTGCCCCGATTCTATCCCTGGCACCAAATATGTTACTCCACGTACTGTCAGGAGCAATCCCTGAGCCCAGAGTCAGGAGTTAACTTTGAGCACAGCTGGGTGTGGCTCCCAATCCCTCTTTCCCCCAGCAAAAAATCTCAAAATATAAAGTGCCCAGTGAATAGCAGCCATTCAATAAATGCTGATGAGTTTGATAATAACAGTATGGATTAAAGCAATTACTGAATAATCAAGAATGAATCAAATGTAGAACGGTTGATTGCTTCAGGTGATGGCTGAGCTTGAGTTCTCAAGCCTTTTATTTACTTTCCTCCTGTATTTTCTCCTATTATGAATTCTGTTTTCCCAGGGTGAGTTAGTATTACTGCCACAATAATTTTGATATATTTTATTCTATACCTAGGATCTCTCACTTATGTTCTAGTCCCAAATTTAAAACTCTGTACAATGTTCTTTTTACGTACCTTGATGTTTTATCATATTCAGAATGACTATGAAATTTACCACATTTCCCCCAAAACTTGCTCTTCCTAATTTCCAAACCCTGTCAGCAGCATTATCCCAAACAATAACTCTCTATGATGATAGAAAGGATAAGTCTTTCTTTTATTATTCATTTATTGTATTATATGGGCTGGAGCGATAGCACAGTGGGTAGGGCATTTGCCTGGCACGTGGCTGACCGGGTTTGATTCCTCTGCCCCTCTTGGAGAGCCCGGCAAGCTACCAAGAGTATCCTTCCCGCACAGCAAAGCCTGGCAAGCTCCCCAAGGCATATTTTATATGCCAAAAACAGTAACAAGTCTCAGAATGGAGACTTTACTGGTACCCGCTCGAGCAAATAGATGAACAATGGGAGGACAGTTATACAGTGCTATTTTGTTTATATATATATGGGCTGGACTGATAGCACAGCAGGTAGGGCATTTGCCTTGCATATGGCCTACCCGGGTTCAATTTCTCTGCCCCTCTCGGAGAGCCCGGCAAACTACCGAGTGTATCTTGCCTGCACGGCAAAGCCTGGCAAGCTCCCCGTGACATATTCCATATGCCAAAAATAGTAACAATAAGTCTCACAGTTTGTTGTGAGACATTACTGATGCCCGCTCCAGCAAATCAATGAACAGCCGGAGGACAGTGCTACAGTGCTACAGTGCATATATATGTGTGTGTGTGTGGGGGGGGGGGGACCAAATAGCGCGCGTGTGTGTGGGGGGGGGGGGACCAAATAGCGCCTGGAATTATAGTGCCTGGAATTAAGTATCAGTGCTATATATAGCACTGCACTGTAGCACTGTAGTACTGTCCTCTGGCTGTTCATCGATTTGCTGGAGCGTGCATCAGTAATGTCTCACAACAAATTGTGAGACTTATTGTTACTGTTTTTCATCAAGTTGCTCGAGCAGGCCCAGTAATGTCTCCATTGTGAGACTTGTTACTGTGTTTGGCATATCCAATACATCACGGGGAGCTTGCCAGGCTTTGCCGTGTGGGCAAGATACTCTCTGTAGCTTGCCGGGCTCTCTGAGAAGGGTGGAGGAATCAAACGTGGGTTGGCCGGGTGGACCGCTTGCAAGGCAAATGCCCTACCACTGTGCTATCGCTCCTATATTTTATTTGGGGGCCACCTGGAAGTACTGGGGGTTTATTTCTGGCTTTGCACCCAGGGATCACTTGTGGCAGGTTTGGAGGACTATATGGGATGCCGGGAATCTAATCTGGGTCAGCTGTGGGCAAGGCAGGTGCCCTGCCTACTGTGTCATTGCTCCAGCCCCAGTTTGTTTGTTTAATTCTTTTTGCTTTTTATGTCACACCTGGTGGTTATTAGGGACTATTTCTTGCTCAGTGTTTGGGGGACCATATAGTGCCTGGAATTAAGTATCAGACATTCAAGGCAAGTACACTATTACTGAGCTACATCCCTGGTCCCATAGCTTCTTTTAATATGTCTATCATTTATAGATTCTATCTATCTATCTATCTATCTATCTATCTATCTATCTATCTATCTATCTATATACACACACATACACATAGCATTTTTATATTGGTTTTGAGGTCAGATGGGCAGTGCTCAAGGCTTACTCCTAGATCTGTGCTCAGGGGACCACATAGGGTGCAGTGATCAAATCCGGGTTAGCCATGTGCAAGGCAAGCTCCCTACCCATTATTCTATCTCTCTTATTTTTTGTTTTTAATTTTGTTTTGGGCTGGAGCGATAGCACAGCAGGTAGGGCGTTTGCCTTGCACGCGCCCGGCCAACCCGGGTTCAATTCCTCTGCCCCTCTCGGAGAGCGCAAACTACAAAGAGGTCTTGGCTGCACGGCGTGGCGTATTCAATATGCCAAAAACAGTAATGACAAGTCTCATGATGGAGACGTTACTTGGCCCGCTAAAGCAAATCGATGAACAACGTGAGGACAGTGCTACAATGCTACAATTTTGTTCTAGGGGGGTTACATTGGTAGTTCTCAGGGGATTCTCCCATCTTTGTGCTCAAGGATTGCTCTTGGGGGATTGCTCAGGCGACCATATATGATGCAGGGACTCACTCCTGGGCCTCCTGTATGCAAAGCAAATGCTCTAGCTTGCTCAACTATCTCTCTGGCTCATGTTTGTTAAAGCTTGGGTATGACTTATTAAGCACAAATTTTGTTTGATTTAATGTTATCATCTCCATTTTCTACAGAGGGAAATTGAAAATTTAAAAAATTTTTTTTTGCTTTTTGGGTCACACCCAGGAGTACCTGGCTCTGCACTCAGGAATCACTCCTGGCAGTGCTTGGGGGACCATATGGGATGCTGGGAATCGAACCTGGGTCGGCCGCATGCAAGGCAAATGCCCTACCCGCTGTGCTATTGCTCCAGCCCCTGAAAGAGTATTTTAGTGCAAAGTCATATTTAGTGGTATAGCTGAGATTTGAATCAAGGTACTCTTGTCTGCAAAGCCTATTATTTTCAGTTATGCTATTTCTTTTCTCTCACCTCAGTCAGCTTTCCACTAAATTCTGTCAGTGTTCTTCAGAATGTCTTTCTGATTTACTTTTTATTTAATTTCCTCAAAAAAGCACCTTCCAATTTGTTCTTCCTCCCTGATTTTACTTGCCTTTAATCTCTGATAGATTTATCGATATACTGTTAGAACGATTATTTTGAAAATACCTTTTTAAAAACTTTGATAGTTTCATATTTCTTGCAGTTTCTAGTTAAAATTCTGCCTTTCTTTTAAGATCTCTGGACAATCTAGATTTACTCACACCTCTCTGGCTTTATGTTTTATAATTCTCAGCCACACCCTGTATTCAACACAGGTTATTCTCATTTAAACCTGATATGCAAAAGTCCCTTTCTCAACCTTCTTGCCCTTGCTCATTTCCTTTTACTTTTCTCTACCTAGATAAAACCTCACCAATTCCACAGAGAATTCCTGTCCATGGTCATGTAATCCCTCTTGTGCTTTTGCCAGTGAAATATCCAGATTTCAAGACTTTCACAAAAATGATTCAAATCTCAGCACCACATATGGTCCCTTGAACACTGTCAGGAGTGATCCCTGAGCAGTGGAACCAGCTGTGATCCCAGAGTACCACTGCTGGTGTACACCCCCCCAAAAATTTTTTGTGGCAAGTAACTTTTCCTCTTCAGATTTGATTTATAGGTAAAATGAGGAGTTGATAATCTTTTTTTTTTTTTTTTGCTTTTTTGTTGGGGTGGGGGTCACACCCGTGGATGCACAAGGGTTATTCCTGGCTCTGTACTCAGGAATTGCTCCTGGTGGTACTCGGGGGACCATGTGGGATGCTGGAAATCGAGACCAGTTTGGCGAGCAAGGCAAACGTTCTACCCACTGTACTATCCCTCCAGGAGGTGATAATCTTTAAGATTCCTTATATTGTTATATTTCTAGGTAATTCTCTCCTCTTTAACACTTGATTCAGTACCAAGAAAGTCCTAATTTTTCTGCAGGTGCTAGCTATTTGGCTTGTTGAATACCTTTTCTCCTGAGTAGCCCTGCAGCTATTTTAAGATTTTGAATTTGATTATATCTCTCTCTTGCTTAAAACCTTCTCATGGGAGGGCCAGAGCCATAGTAGAGTGGGGTAGTAGGGCACTTATCTTGCATCAAGATGACCTGGGTTATCCCCAGAACCACATATGGTCTTGTGAGCCCAGCCGGGAGTAATCGCTAAGCAAAGAGCCAGAAGTAAGCCCAGAGCACCACAGGGTGTGATCCAAAAAAAGAACAAAAACAAAACCCTTAATAGGGGTAGGAAGATACCTAAAATGTCTGGAGCTCAAGCTTTGCATGTGAGAGCCTGGGTTCAACCCTGGTACTGCATGATTCCCTGAGCATCACAGCCAAGAATAGACCTAAACTCCTGTTTAGGGGAAACCATCACTTCATCCCCAATATAAAATTTCATATCAGCCTTGGAAGGACTGTTTTGTTTAGTTTGTACATCAATTCTTGTATTAATTCCTGCTCTTTTTTTTTTTTTTTGAGGGGACATACATGGTGGTACTATTCCTGGCTCAATACTTTAAGGTCATCCCTGATGATACTCATATCATGCATTTGGTACTAGGGATTGAACCTGGGCCTCCTGCTTGGGAAACATGTGCTCCAGTCAGCTCAACTATCTCTCCAGCCCAACTTCCTGTTATTCTTTCTCATTCTTAGTTCTTTTGGCCCAAGGTGTTCTTTGTTTCTTTTTCAGTACTGGAATTGAACACAGGGCCTTACACATGCAAATCTGTGCTGAGCTAGGCTCTAGGCTCAAGGAGTTTATAATGTAAACCTTTGTTCTTTTTCATTCTGTATTCTTGCTGTCTTGGTAGAGGAGTATAGAAAAATTCCTATTCATCTTTCAGATTTTAGGAAAGATATTTTTCTCTGATAATTTCAAAACTTGACTTAGTAATTATGTAATTTATGGAAAATAATTTAATATTGAGCTTCAGTTTTCATGTCAATAGTGTGAGAATGTGGTCCAGAGAGATCATACTGGGACTAAGGTACTTAATTGGTATGTGACTGACCCCAATTCAAGTCCCTGGCACCACATGTGGTCCCTTAAGCATCACCAGAGGTGATCCCTTAGTGCAGAGCCAGAAATAAGCCCTGAGCATTGCCAGGTGTGTCCTAAAACAATATATATAAGTCTCACATATGTGATACATACATCTCAAAATAAATAATTCTCATAATGTGAGAGTGATAGTAATGCTTACTTTCTAGGATTATTATAAGTATTAAATAAGATACAAATAAAGTGCTGAAAGCAACTTCTTTTCTAACTAGTATATAATTCTTGGGCAAGTAATAGTTGAAGGAGATGCTCAATAAATAATTGAAACTGTAGGACTAATTTAGAGAAAAAATTGTTCATGTAAATGTCTGTAGGTAAAAGATTTCTTCTTTCCTTCCTTTCTTTTTTTTTTCCTTTAAATTTTTGGGCCACACTTAGCTGTGCTCTGGGCTTACTCATGGCACTGAGTTCAGGAATACTCCTTGCAGTGCTCAGGGATCATATGTGGTGCCAGGGACTGAAAAGAGATGAAGCACATGCAAAGTAAGTACCGCAAAGCAAGTGCCTTAATTCCTGTACTATCTCTCCAGTCCAAGAATTTCTTCCTTTCACTAATTAATTAATTTAAAAATCATTACAATAAGCTAGGTATCATGAAAGGCAATAGGTTGTTTCTCTTTGTGTGATGGTGTGAGAAATAGTGTAACAAATTTGTTTTGGTTCCTTTGGTTTTGGGGCCATAACTGGTGGTTTTTGGGAGTTACGCTGACTCTGTTCTTAGAGATCACTTCTGTTGGGGTAGGAGACCATGTTGTGCCAGGGCTTGAACATAGGCCTCTAACATGCAAGGCCTATTGAACTGTCTCTTTGGTCCTGGAGTAGTAGTTTTGAGGGAGGAAGTAAGATACATGAGTCAAGAATCAGCCCATGGAACTAGACAGTAGTGAATGATGGATTAGATAACTAGAACATCTACCCCATGAAGACAAAAACTTAAATTTGAAAGGATATATTGTCACTTCATTTACAATAATCAAGGTGTGAAAACAACCCAAGTACCCAACAATAGATGAGTAAATAGAAAAATGTGGTGGGGAGTGGAGAGAGTTTAGGGATTAAGGTGCCTGCCTTGTGTGCCACTGACCCCAGTTCAAAGTCTGGCACTACATGAACTCTCCTAACAGCATTCCCTGAACACAGGACTGGGAGTAGCACCCAAGCACCTCCAGGTATGCCCCCAAAATAAATAAATTTGTGCTTTATGTATACAATGGAATACTACTCAACTATGAGAAAAATCAAAATTTTGCTGTTTTCTGCAACTTGGATGGAATTGGAGGAAATCATGTTTAGTGAAGTAAGTCAAAGAAAAATACAAATTCTTGCTGGTGACCTTATTCATATATGGAGTATAAAGAAACAAAGCAAGGAATTTGACAGTCCCCAATGGAAATAGCCCTTAATAATCTGGAGGGAGGGGAGCTGGAGCAATAGCACAGCCGATAGGGCATTTGCCTTGCACGCGGCCGACCCGGGTTTGATTCCCAGCATCCCATATGGTCCCCTGAGCACCACCAGGGGCAATTCCTGAGTGCAGAGCCAAGAATAACCTCTGTGTATCTCCAGGTGTAACTCAAAAAGAAAAAAATATCTGGAGGGAGGACGAGAGGGATGGAACCTTAGGATGATGGTGGAGGGACCCTGATACCCTGTTGTGGGCATGGTGCAGCAGCTCTACAAGTATTTTTTAAAAAGGAGAGTGGTGGAATCTTGGGCACTTTGGTGGTGGTGATGGTGCAATAACTGGGTATCTAAACTATTGTAACTATGTTGCCTACACTGCAATTGAAACAGATTTTTTAAAAGATTAGATGGGTGAGGAGAGACCAAGGTTCTTGAGTACTGAGTAAAGAGTAGTTACTTGAACCTGTATGTAGACTGGTAAACCATATGATGTAAATATGTCTGAGAAGTGTAGTGATGTCTGGTCTTTACTTTCTGTTGCAGAGTTTTGGGGAGACATTGCTAAGGAATTTTACTGGAAGACCCCATGCTCTGGCCCATTCCTCCAGTACAACTTCGATGTGACTAAAGGGAAAATCTTCATTGAGTGGATGAAAGGAGCAACTACCAACATCTGCTACAATGTACTGGATCGAAATGTCCATGAGAAAAAACTTGGAGATAAAGTTGCTTTTTACTGGTAAAAACATCTATTTTATAGACTGTGGCAGATAAATCATCCTGTAATAAATCATCATTAAGTTTTATACAATGTTCCATAGTTCACAAAGAATTTTAGAATTTATTAACTCATTTGATGCTTACAATAACCCAGTAGAATAAGCCTAAATAGAATATAGAATATATTTTTTTAGGAAAATTATCTGAAGGCACTTACATGACTTCCCTAAAATCACAAAATTCACATGTGACAGAATGGACATTCAAAGCCAAGTGTCCTGACTTGAGTCTAGATTTTTTTGGCTTACAGTTAGAGAAGAGGGGTAAGAGTATATGAAAAAGAACAGGACTGACTGAAAAGCTTTATTTCTGTTCTTACTTTGGTAGGAAGATGATCATCAGGTTTGTTTGTGGGTTTTGTTTTGTTTAGCTTTTTTAACCACCATCATGTTATTATCATTGCCTTTTTTTTTCCCCACTGGGCTGCGTGCCAGATACTATGTTCAAATGTTTAACACGTAGTATCTCATTTGTATCTCACAACAATCAAGAAAGCATTGTTTTCTATTTTATATATATGAAAACTGAAAATATAAGATGTGAAATGCTTATCTGAAGTTTTGCATTTAATAAGAATCTGCAGACCTGAGATTCAGACCCATTCTAGTGTTTACACTCTTTTTTGAGGGGCAGGGTTGGTGGATCACACCTGGTGATACTAGGGGTTACGCCTGACCCTGCACTCAGGAATTGCTCCTGGTGTACACGGGGAACCATATGAGATGCCAGGGATTGGCTGCATTCAAGGCACGCACCCTACTTGCTGAACTGTCCAATTCTAGAGCTTATACTCTTAACCAGAAAGTTTTGAGAGAGGAAGTAACTCTCTAACTCTTTATACTAGTTTCTTAATAATCATTGCAGAATAGTTATTCTTCACTTCATTTTATATGTGAAGAAAGGAAAGGTTGCACAATTAAACAATATTATAAGGTGAATAAGTGGTGGAGCTAGATTTGAAACACATCTGTTTGACTTCTTGCTTGTAACATTAGGCCATCCTGCCTCCCTGGAGGCACTTCCTAAGGTCCCCTTCTCCTCGAAACATAGCTTATTGGCAGTATTACTATACTGAACTCAAGTGGGACCTTGAAAGTGAAGAACAGGAGTCTCTCACTTCTGGCACTACTCACTAGCATTTGGGAATTAAACTACTTCTTTTTAAGTAAGATGGTAGGAATAGTTAGAATATTTCATGGGAAGAGCTTAAACCAGTAAAATTTTTCTTTGTATAAGTTGAACTTAGTCAAGTTTATTCCATTGTGTCATATAGTAAGAAGAGCCCTAACCAGAGGGACAGGAAATTTAGGTTCTGATTCCAAATTTGCTCATATGCTACAGGCAAGGCATTTAACTCTCTGAGTCAGTTTTCTTTTCAGTAAAATGTGTATAATAATTCCACCCTTGACTTTGTAATTCGATTGCTATGAAAATCAAATGAGGTGATACTATAAAAATCATTTATTTATTTATTTGGGGAACAGTGTACAAATGTGAATAGCTATTTTGTATTGCCATTGCTTAATTTGGAGGCACTTTGCCATTAAAACTCAGAATCTGTTTATTCTGTTGAGATATTCCTGTCTTGGACTTTATACTTAAGCTCCAACTGATACTTGGGATTGTTTGTGTCAGAGTTTGTTCTCTGGTTTGAAAAAAATTCAGGTAGATCATGAAAGAAAACTCAGGTCAGAGTTATTCAGTCTTTGAGGGGTGCTGTAGAATCTTGAGGTCTCTTCTAATTCCAGTACCAGGCACACCCAGATAGACCTAGACTTTTTATTTCCCCAATGAAGGATGTGGATAAGATCAGTGTTTTCTGGGCTGGGTCAGAGTCATGGCTTAAAAGGCTGGTGTGCAAAAGCCCCTGATTTGATCTCTGGTACCATTGGATGTTGCCCAAGCACAGCCATGTCTAGTACCACCCCCTCTCCCAAATTGTATGTTCCAAAGAATGCTCCAGCAACTACTAAACTCTAGAGGGGATTTCATAATTCATGAAACAAATGGGTTTTAGAAACATTACATAGTAAGCCTTTATAGGAATCGCAATGTATATTAATATGATAGTGTTCTTAGAAGCCTCACACAATAAAAACACCAGATTAATTTTGTTTAATGTGAAATTTTCCAAACTTATTTGATCCCTAGCACTTTTTATAACATGTTATTAACATTACAAGAAGCAGGGTTCTATTGAACACTAATTTGGGAAGCATTAGGGTAGGTCATCTCTAAGTTTACAGGAGACAATGCTATATATCCATAATATATCTATACTTCATTTTAATATATATTACCAATTTTTGTGTTTATTTTGGGCTATATCTATTAGTGACTAGGGGACCATATTGTTGTGGGGATTAAAGTATGGCATATAAAGCTTGTGTTCCAGCTCTTTGTCATCTCTCCATCTTTACATCTTTAGTTTTTGAAAAGAAAATCTTGATTTCCTATTGTGGAAGAGAAATTAGTTCTTAATCATATCTCCAAATTTCTCCTTTCATTTTCCCAATATAATGATAACTCTGCCTTATAATTAATTAAAAAATTAATGTTTATGTACAAGTGGTATATTATAATTGAATTTACTTTTTTGGGAATAGATTTTAGTTTTCTCTGAAGTCAATAATCACCTGCAGTTTTTCTTGAGCTATTTGCCTTTATCAGATACTCAATTTTGTTCAAGCTCTCTATCATATTTATTTTTTGCAGTTCTAATTCTCCTTTACCCCCAAAGTCCTTTCTTTGCAACTCACCTTGTTCCTGCTCAGTGCTTACAATTTATTAATTTTTAAAAATTTTATCTTTTCAATTATTTGTTATAATTTATGTATTTTTTTATGGAACTATGGGCTGGAGCGACAGTACAGCGGATAGGCCGTTTGCCTCGCACACGGCCGACCTATGTTCAATTCCTCCATATCTCTAGGAGAGCCCAGCAAGCTACTGAGAGTATCCTGCCTGCACAGCAGAGCCTGGCAAGCTCCCCATGGCATAGTCAATATGCCAAAAACCGTAACAACAAATCTCACAATGGAGACATTACTGGTGCTCGCTCGAGCAAATCGATGAACAATGGGAGGACAGTGTTACAGTGATTATGGAACTACAGTATGACTGTATACTCAGCTGAAATTGTGTAATTTAGATAGGTAGTATTAGCAAACTACATTTACGACACATTCCTTGCTTTGGAGTATGTCTTAATATATACTCAGAGATATGAAATAATTCACAAATGAAATAACGTTTTTAAAAAAGTACTCTCATTAGACATAACAAAACAGTGGCTGGAGCAATAGTATAGTGGGTAGGGTGTTTGCCTTGTACCTGGTCAATTTAGGTTCAATCCCTGGCACCCCATGGTCCTCCAAGCTTACCAAGAGTGATCCCTGAGTGCAGTGCCTGAAATAAACCCTGAGCACTGCCTTTGGAGGCCTACTTCCCCCCCCCCCAAAAAAAAGACAAAACAAAACCATATTAATGAAGAATTTGGCCTTACTTTTGGCTCGACAAACTATAAATGTTTATGGAATAAAAGTGTTATTAGAACATGAAGTGACTATTTAAAATAAATTTGTAGCACTGTCCTCCCGTTGTACATCGATTTTCTCGAGCAGGCCCAGTAACGTCTCCATTGTGAGACTCCTTGTTACTGTGTTTGGCATATTGAATACATCACAGGTAGCTTGCCAGGCTTTGCCGGGCGGGCAAGATACTCTCGATAGCTTGCCGGGCTCTCCAAGAGGGCCAGAGGAATCGAACCTGGGTTGGCAAGGCCGGCCGCCTGCATGGAAAATGCCCTACAGCTGTGCTATCGCTCCAGCCCACTTTTTTTTACAGAAGGATAGATTAAGAACCAGAGAAGTTTAGTGATTTGTATAAGGATCACATACTTGTTAGACTAATCTTGGGATAGCCTGACTCCTACTCAACTACTTTTAACTACTTTTTTGTTTTGGGGGGGGACATACTTGGCAGTGATCAGGGGTTATTCCCAGCTTAGCACTTGGGGAACTTCCTACTATAGTGCTGGGGGACCACATGGTCCTTTAAGTTACATCCTCAGCCCTCAACTACTCTTTTCACTGTATGTAATAACTTAATTATTCTACTAATTATCTAGTAGGGAAACATAGTGAGGAATATTAAGGGTACCTAAATTAGTGAGGGCAGACTTAGTTGAAGGGAGAATAGGGGATTTGATTTATAGGTAGAAGGTTTATAGAGTGATTGGTGACTGTTATTATGTTATACTGCTTTCTCAGTCTCTCAGTTATTCAAGAAGAGATAGTCTGCAAAGAAATTTAATAATCCATTTCTTCCATTGCTTTCTTTGGGTTGTCTATAGTTATCATTATCTTTATATCACCTCATCCTTTATTCTTAGCTAAAGATACTGCTGTCTTTTCATGGGTCCTGAATGTGATATAACCTTTCCGTATGAATTGGAGCTTCTGAGAAGAGGGTGACTTTAGGAGTGATCTTAGGACAGAAGCTCTGATCTCAGAATCTCTATGTATTCCTTGAGTATGAACTTGAATATATTTAGAATTCTCTGTGTCCCTTTGGTCTGTATGTACATATCAGAGCAGAGATGGTTGGAAAAGAAGTAAGACCAGGTTCAAATAAGAAGAATGTTAAGATAGCATGGAATATTAACACCCTGGGGTATATTGTCTTAGAATTCATCTTAGGGTCTATGCTAATTATCTATGTCCATATCTATGCACTCATTTCAGTGATGTGATGAAGAAAGGATAATTTTTCCCTGTTTCTTTAGTGGTTTCATTAGAGTCTTTATTCTGATTAAAATATGCTTGGTAAGGAAAAAATATTTATTTGAGAAAGAAGATGGCCTCAGACTTATGGGAGTGGGAGTGGTAGGAGGTTAACAACAGATAATCTTTAAGGTTCCTTTTAGTTATGATATATCAGAACTTTATGATTATTTCT